GAGCTTCCAGTCACTGCTTGGCCGCTGTTTAAAATTGATTTAGTGCACAGCCGCTACTTCTGAGCCAGCCACAGGGCGCCGTCGTGAGATGCGCGGCGTCAAGCATATAACTGTGATATGCCCGCACATTATATATACATATATACGCACACACACACACCCGACAGCGTATATCCATTTAAACATATAAATATTAGCTCATTCAAGCACACAAATACAAAGGAAAGCATATCATCACCATGGAGCGATGGAACGAGAAATTTGTTGTTTCTTGGTAAACGCCTGTTTTGCTCGACGAATTACTAGAAGGAACGATGGCACAGTTTTTTTTATAAAAACAAAAAAAAAAGGAAGAACACGCTGCCACCTCGATTAAAACGGACTGGAGCAGTTTAGACCTAAAGTGGAGGTAGGTAAACAGCAGGTGAGTGCTCTTAGATTTTACTGGTTACGTTTTGTCAGTTTCGACCATTTCTGAAGTTCGTACAATGAATCTGCATCCACTTCTATTTATGTCAGGTTTGCACAGTAGCAAAAGATCATAATGAAATATGGTAGTTCCGTTATCTGTGTAAGGCGAGCGAATAACTAGACAAGTCTTCTGAAAAAGATTGTCAGCTAACATGTTTTCAACTAAGACCTGTGATTTTCAAATCCTTGTTTCCTGTCACTACAGAAATGCCGTAATTTCTTGCCGCTGACAATATACAGACTGCTGCTGCTGCTGTTTCTCCGGCCGGGGCTTCCTGAAGGATGTTACTCAGAATAGATAGGCAATTAATTTGTCTGCTCTCAGGTCAAAACTAATCTGACATTTTGGTGATGCTATATTGAATATTAGAAATCGCACCAGCAGATCTGGCTGTATTAACTACGTTGGCCTTAAGCTTCGAAAAAAACCTGCACCAACTTTAAAGCGCTAGCGTTCAAAAAGTCCTTCTTAAAATAAGCCTGTAATGATTGTCTGTGACGGTACGAATGGTGATAATTATATCAATCAGCTAGTGTATGGTAAGAAGTTCAAGCCCGGAACACACGCTTTAAATATCTTACTAATCATTTTGATAGGAGTTGACAACGAAACATATGGTTGCAGGACCTCTTAAGGAAATCAAAGTTACCACTAATTCAATCAAAGTTCCAAGCGGTCTTTTACAATTACGTTCGCATTGAATGATTATATTAGTCTAGGTTAGAGTGATTCTTCGTGCCTGTTGTAAATACTCATACCGGGGGGTGAACTATATGCGAACAGTAAGGTCGACCTTTACTTGCCCCTTTACGGAGCGAAATTTCACGTTGGAATTTAACATGTAGTTAATCTGAAAAATTGTAATAAATCTCTGCTAATAATTGCTTTCGATAAGGGTAGTGCAAATAATTAGCCCGTTTATGTTCTCCATCCTGGAGAGGATGACTAATCCTATCAAAATTGTTGTTACGGTCAAAATGTTCAAAGTGACCACCTTCGAGTGACTGCAGATAGATGAAATATTATCAAGAAAAAATAATGTAAATTTGTATTTAAAAAATAAAAATATCTCTCTAGTGCTTGCTAACTGGTTTTCTGATTTTCATTTACATTGCAAAGATGTCCCCCACACAAAAACTCGATAACCTTTAAAGACCTTAAGGAACCTTTTAAAGAAAAATTCAGTATAATTCTTGTAGCCAATATTTTGTATATTGTGTATATAATCATATATAAATAATAAAATAACACTTCAAAAAATAATCCAATTATTGTAGGTTATGGTAAGTTAATCTTATATATCAGCCACTCTCATTCATTTGACCTTTCAAGTAAGGCAAGCAGTATACAAACGAAGCACTCAAGTAAATAAATTTAGCAGTGAAGCATTAGCATAATCCAATAATGCTCGCCTTACGGATATCTAAACAAAAAAATAAAGCATTTCATTATTTATATCTGTCGCATTTCAAATCACGGTATAAATTTTTTCGCCTCACAGGCAACATGGATATGAGTTATGATTGGAAATGCCGCTCTATTGAACCCAAGTGCGAACCAATATACTCCAAGCGCCGCTCATTTATGTTGTGACCTGGGCATTTCCCTTTTTTGGCTACAGCCACTCGTTCTACCGTGTCTTATTTTTGACGTCGCTATAGTAATACCACTGCATGTAAATGATTGAACTATCAAAGGCCAAAGCAGCGCCATTCTCCGGAGTAAGCCGTGAATCTGGGAGAAGTGGCATGAAAAATACACCTATTTTTCAGGAGCGAAGTTGAAGCATTTTTATAAGGCTGTGGGCTGCCTGGGACGAGAGCATTTGCGACGGTCAAAGACGGTACTGATTGCAGAAGCACCTATTGAACATCGTATTTTTGCTGAGCTGAGTAACGCCATAAATTCAGCTAATGTTGTACTTGTATGAGCAGGCATTACGACCACGCATCTAGTTACATCCTGATTCTCTTCTTCTTAGCTTAAATACCTCAAGTAACGAAACATTTTATAACTAACTGCGATCCAATATAAAACAATAAAAGTTTAATGTACAAAAAGAACATATTTATAGAAAAGGTTGTGGTATGGCATCTGGTCTTTTAAGCATGTTCCATAGGGGGTGGTGATATGGCAACAAAATGTCTAGAAGCTAAAGTTCACACCTGACCAAACCTGCGGAAGCGACCGAGCCGCGGGGCTTGGAAACCAGCTAACGTACCTTAAGAAACAGGCTTGTTAGGACCAGATTGCCGCGGGAAGCAGCACCATGGTACCGGTGGCGGTGTCAGGCTCTAGCCGATTTGTCGACGAAATGAACTGCAACTGATGAGGAAACTAGGCGTGTGCAGTACGGGAAGCATGGAACCATATACCGTACAACCAGGTCCGGACCATAAAAAGTTCGTAAATGGAAATTTCTGAGTACGTATTACGATGATGGATGGAAGTGCGCGGGCGCCAGAACTGTTGGAATAGTGTCGAAATGGTACCGCAGCCACTAGAAGGTGACTAGCCGGGCAGCGTTGCAGGACGCGACACCATAGTCCTTGCGAAGGGCGTAACTTCACAAAGGACATGCGAACGTTGCGTGCACGCGACAACAGTTGGTAAATATGGCTAACTGTTTACCGGGTTGTTTGTTGTAACAGGCGTACGTTCATCCTCCGGGTACCAGACGAAAGTCAGTTCACTTTAGAAGGAGACGAACTTGTCATGGCGAATAACAGTGCGTCGCTTGTGGATTTTGAGTGAAAGATTAGCTATCTTCTCGCGGTGGATAGATTTTCATGAACAGTGTCAATATGGCTCAAAAAGTCACAGGTTTTGTCTACAAAAAGATAAGGGCTATTTTCAAGCGGATAACAGTCATTGCCAATTGGGTCGTTTAGATAAACACGAAAGATTAAGCTTTTTTGGCCCCCTGTATTTTTGGAACCCATAGACGACTCTTGTAGAGGTACCTTAATGAAAAGTGTACGCGATACGTGGCACACGGCGACGAAAAGGCTGAATGGTCGCGACTGATATCATTGCGAAAGAAAAAGAACTCTACTACCCAGCTCGTAGGTTGCGTACGACGATCATGCCGGAGTTGGATTACCACGCATCTCAGTTGGCTCTAAGCGACAAAGGATTTTAATAGCCCACCGGTGCTTAACGCTCTCGGACGATATCTCCTTCAAATTTATCCCCCCTTTTTCCTTAATAACGGCCCCGGCTAAAATGATAAGCCAACTCCATACGACCTCTAGAGTTTGCGTGCGACCTTCCACCGAAGCAAAATCGTTACAAACGCTAGGGCTAAAACTGCACTCATACGCCGAAAGTATTCAGGAACCGGGCCTACAGCATCAGTGCAAGGACACTGAGGCGGCAGTGTTTTATTACGTCGCTACTCGCTCATTAAAAGTCGCTGAAGAAAGCCGAATAAAGGTCGTCAGCTATCGAGATGTCGTGAAACAGAGCAATAGAGCCAGCTAGCAATGGCACGTTTTGTGTGTACTTACACAAGAAAAACCTTTAGAGCTCTCCAGTTTGTTCTGGTCCTCCTCGTTATTGTCGCGATACACGGCTTCTCCCAGCCAATTTGAAATAAGCCCGTCGAACGACTACTAGGATATTTGGGTGCATTTGGAATTACGATCAGAAGGAGGGTGCTCAAATAGAATACTTCTTTAGCCAGAGAAAACGAAAAAAATCGTTTAATAGGTGGTAGAGAAACGAGCTGGTCGTAAGGAATCATTGTATTGAATGTTTCTTAGGGAGGTTAAACTTACTGGAGTTCTACCAACGTACAGCGTATTTGAACATGAAGTAAGTTCTCAGAATGGATCATCTGCCATCACAACATGCAGTGGTAATCATAGCGCGAAAATTGTTCAAAGGTCGTCGCCGGCTGTACTCCGCTGTAAAGTTTAGATTAACATGAACTGCATTGTGACTTATTTAGTCTACCACTTGTTTTGTTGTCCATTAACTATTCTCTAACTCCTTGACTAATTTCCTATTCTGGAACGACTCGTAGAATATAGGCTATCCTGCCTACAGGACACAGTCGAAAACTTCTGTTCCTGTTCCGTTTTTCTTTTTGAGTTACCATTTTTTATGCTTATAAGAAACTATGAGTCACGAAGTTAACTTTTGTCCCATCGTGTGAATATATTGGTCTACGCCTAGTCGTCTCTTCCGTCCTGAAGTTGGCACCGGTTTTTGAGCCTTATCGACCGGTTTATACAAAATGAAAACTTCAGCGCGTCACATAACGGGAAGGTTCTTGACACTGTCTATCTATAAGACGAGAATAATGCCGTGCGGTTTGATTCCTTGCGCCTTAATCCAGTGGCCATATTTTCCTGATGCATAATCAAACTGTTCCATAGCTCTAAACGAGCGAAGCTTTCAATACAGTAAGGACAAGTACCTACACAGACGCGCATCTAAGTACATACGCATGTCAAAACATAGATCAAAAAAACAACTATTCTATACCAGCGTTTCTGCTGCTACTGTTACTATGAAAGCCTACCGGCGTTGAATAGAGCGCCTGCAGCTGTTCGCACATCCACATCTCGACGTGAAGTCGTTTCTTGATGAGCGCCATCTGATGCGAACCGTATTTAGCTGTTAGATACTTTTTCTTTCGTTCACCGACATCAGAACGGTCTTCTGAAAAAGCAACGTGAAGGCTCTTTGCCTGTGATGTCGGCACGCACATACCGCCTGACTGCATCCTGAAATTTCCCGGCAAACAATAGGACAATAAAAAAAGGTTAGCACCTGACTCGGTTATCGTTACGTACTAATAAGAATTGTTAACAGTTTCAAAGATATCTATATGTGCGTGTTGTCTAATACTGAGCAACCCCTAAATGTCGCTTGAAAGGTGTAGCCATTGTTGCCAACCTTAACATCTTCCAAGAGTCTCACCGTCCTCACGCGTCTTCTATCGGCTTCCGCTACAGCTTTCAAATGCAACATTCCCCTTACGTGATTCATTTGTACAGCGCATTGGTGATCATCTATTCGTAGCAACTATTATTAGCGATAGCCTCAAGCATTCTTCAGCCGAAATAAGACGACGGCATCAATTCTAGAACCACCACCGATTGTCGGTGGTGCGAAAAACAGTGAAACATTCCCAAACGCTCAAACACCGACCGTACCAGTATGTGACGTTCGCAACTTGGCTTTCTTTAGCGGTGTCGATTGCCCCAAATGTACAAAACGTACGCTGTTCCTCTTATCGTATTGGCAACTGGCTAATTACAAGTAGCAGGACTCATCTTTAGGCCAATGTCGTTCAAGTCGTCTGTATCCGTTGTCACTAATAGCTTTTTTCCATATAAGAAGTGCTAATGCTGGTAGCGGCAGCAGCAGTAGCTCCTCTGTGTCCTTTGATTTATTTTCCCTTTCTTGTCTACCCACAAGTCGCTTGTCCTCTAGACAGGAGCGACAAAGAAAGTGGCCAGTAAAACCCTTTCAAGGTATGTACAATACGGTTTGTGTGCTAAAAGTGCACGTATATTCATGTCTCTATCCTAAAGTCGTGCATGTCCTGTTAACCGCAAAGTTCATGTCGCAACGTGTCCTCTCTCTCTATCTATCTGTCTATGTCTATCTCTTTCACTATGCGTTTATCGGGCCTTAACTCTATTAAGCAACAATACGATATAGCGGTTTCGTCACTATGTGCGTGCCGACAAGGTTTCCAGGTTTCAATGGCTTGCGTTGTTTTTTCTTCTATGAAAGCGTTATCGAGACTTAATGATGGCCGTATTATATCGAAAGCAACTTTTCTGGCCGATGCACAATCATTTGCTAGTGTTTTTGCATGCTAGCTTTATGCTGAACGGATTAATAGCCACGAGGAAGACAATCTAGTTTGCTTCGTCTTACTGTTTCTGGTTGCAGTGCTCCACGATAGAGCTTCCCTTCCCAACCAATTGGTCATGAACGAACCGTGTGATCAAATAAACATGCAATGCACACATAAAGCCCGAAGATAGCTAGGCTTCGACCTGGGTGTTGACAGGTAAGGCTGTAGGTCACTGGATATTTAGATGCTATTGATATGTTAGGAGCTACTTTTTGTGTTTTCCTGGCCGGACCTAGTCTGCTATTAAAGATTAAGTCAAGCCTTCGGGTACATCCTACAATAGCAGATTGCTGTGAGGATAGGAACTTCAATAGGCGTACATTGGAGCAATGAAAGATCGATATCTGATTTTTCATATACACCATTAAATGTGTTTAGTTTGTATGTGGGTTGGTTCGCGCAAGTAACCACAGGGAGCCTATGAGCAAAGTTGACGTACTATCAGTCGAAATCATTTGTTGACAGCATTATTATTACTACATATTAGTAGTATTACAATTGCTCACGAACAAATAAAGGAAAGAAGACGTCGAGTACGTATCAGTGGACAGACCCACAGGACGATCAATGAAGAAGAGCTAAGAAAGAATTCGTGATTTACGTATCCGCCCGTTTGCCACGGATTTTCGACTCGTCGACGAGCGGTCGATTGTGCAGTGTATTTATTTTTCCTAAAAGTTTAACTTTAAGTTGATGCTAAAGTGAGTGCACGGGATAGCGGCGTCACTTGTCTATCTAAATAAATTCGTGCAATTGTGGCAGGTCAAATGTATTCGTAGGTTAGATGTCAGAAGCATTAACGATATAGAGGTAACAAAGACATATATAACACAGCCCGGTCATATGGGGTACCTTTTGATTACACTATCGACAGATGCTGTCAATACCTGACAAACGTTAAACTTGTAGCAGCAGAGCATCGTCAAAGAGCAATAATACCTTCTATTGTCTATAGTCCGTCAGGAGCGATAGTCAAAGTTGACAGTAATGGAGAAATCTATCTAGTAGATAATATACACTATTGTACATTTGTTCTCATTTCTAAAGAGCATTTCCCCACAACTCGGAAGGCTATGCCTTGACAAAAAAAAAAAGTCCTAACCATTTAACATTGACTGCACAGCCAATATGATCTTATTATATTATGATAATAATAACAGTAGTAATCGTAAATACCGGCAATTTGGCAAACGCTTGATAACAACTCCTACCATTATTCCAATTGTATATAGAAGCGCAGACTCATCTCAATAACATCGACCCCGTAACATTGACGCTATCGCCAACATTGCAGAGTGATTCCACTAGTAACACTATGCGGTGTGAGTCTTCAGAGCAGAAAGGGTCTCGCTAGTGAAGTAGCAATGATAGTTGCAACGGCAAAGGCTTCATCATTGTGCGACTATAGGTAGAACCTGCCATCCAACTATCAGATGCTCCATAATGAACGAGGCCTTCGCAATTTCTATCGCCCCTCTGCGTTCTCGCTCTGATGCTCCATTGGCTCGACAGCGTCAACCGAACGGCCGTTCGTGCCGCATCGTGGTCGTGACTTGTGATGGATCGTTTCTAATAGAACTCGTCACGACTCGGAAGGCAGGCAGGTAGACAGATACGCACACACGTAAAGACGAATAGACACAGCACGTTAAGAAACGCTGATGGGAGCCAGACAGAGCAACAGTTTGACACAGGGTCACAGCCATACTGCTGCTGCTAATGTAACTGTTATTGCTGCCACGATGTTGACGGCCGCAGCTATCGCAAGGGCGGCTGTGACGTGAGCCGTTCGATGTTATAGCGGCACCGAACAGTAGACACCAAACAAGCAAGGTCTACAGACTTCAGCCCGAGTCCGATACTCACAAAACAAGCTCGTGTCATCGCATCACCGTAGTCGCCAACAACATCGTGATCAGCGTCATCGGCAACGTCGTTCCAATATTCGTGACGGGGACGTCGCGATCGTAGTAGCTCAATTCATTCATTCCTTCCTTCCATTCACAGTGGCCGCTAATTAGCGCGTTGTTCCGCATTCTACCCGCTATAGTTATAGTTGTTAAGGCAGCCGCCATTGATAGCTGCCGCTCTGATCACACTGAATTATTAGGTCCATGCGAGAGCGATGTCCTTCTGAACAAGGACAGGCAGCAGCCTGCTGCTAGTTGTTAAGAAAGGAGAACAATAAGCTCAGAAAACTAGGCCGCAATGATTATGATGCTCGCTACTGTGCGACGAGTCGAATCATAACTTGACCTGTAAGGTAATAAAATAAAATGCCCCCATTGGCGTACGACGACAATCGATGACCTCCACCGAATAAGTATTTTACTTCAGAGAGTAGAGATGCCGATTTAATACCCATATTTTAAAGTTTCAGTCATCGGAGAACAAACCTGCTACTGTTTAGTAACAGCCAACGGCAGCTGGGCACTTTTCTACTGGGTTATATTGCAATATTTGCGGGGGCGCTTGTCTTCATTGCGGTTTTGTGCGGCCATAAGTGACAAAAGTCGTTTTCAACTTTCCCTATAGGGTTATAGCCAGGCCGTTTGTCCCTAAGGGTTCTGGTTCGCCTGAGGTTCGTGACTCGTAATTCGTACGGAATTGGGAGATGCTGATCGCGCAATGCTCTATATAATAGGGTCATTATAAAGATACATGTGCAGTGTAATAAGGTTCTATGTTGACCTTATCGGTACGTTTCTTCTACGTCATGTGATGTTTGCTAGGCCACGTAATTGCTGATATATAAATCCTCTAATAATCACCATATAAGCCTTATTCTATAAATGATCACCACTATTTTAAACAAGTTGTGGGCTCGATTCAGCGAAAGGTTGACCGTTACCGTTTACATATATCGAAGACCTGTTATCAACTGATGAGCGTGGATGTGATTATTAGTGAAATTTTACTATTTTCAAAGTCAAATAAAATAGACAAAGAGGACAATAAAAATGTCTCATATTAACGATGCGTTTCTACCCGTCACATAATCATGAGGGACGACATTCAGCCGGAAATGTTAGTTCATAAAAAGTCCAGTTCTTGCAAACTTTCATAAGTTTTCGTTTTCTTGATTGTTGCAAACTGCCCTGTCAGCCGTCGAGGTGGCAAAGATGGCGGCGAGGGCGACAATTGCTACTACTGCTAATGCTTTTGTTATTGCCCTCACCAACACTAGCGCTACAGTCGGCGCTGTTATGTTGATCCGTTCGTGGGCTGCGTGGCCTATTGCCTGGTGATTGGCTCCTTCAATTGTTGGCCTGCCGCTGCCGCTGCCGCTGCCGCCATTGTCGTTAGGGCCTTCGCTGCTGGCAAAGAGCGGATAGCGAGCGATTTGGTCGGTGTGGAAGTTTTCTTACCTGGGTTTATCCTTTCACCCCCTCCCCGTTTTTCTTCCGACCCTTTATCAGTACGTGACCGGGCCAGAGTTTGTCGACCCCCACAGATTCGGTGTCGCGATAACGGCACGAGCAGCCATCATAATACACAACAACAACAACGTGAGCGACCATAGCAGCTGCTGACTGTATTCGCTTTGGCAAAAATAAAATAGCGACGCAATAATATACCGGAGCGGAACCATTAACAGACCAATGAAAAAATGAAAAGCATTTTTCCTTTTCAGATAATTTTTCTGTTGCGCGCAAGCTCTTTTAACGCTGACAGACGATCTAATAGATGCCCACATAATTACGCGATCCTAACATACAGAAACATGGGTCTACAAGCTTAGGTAAATGATTATGCTTAACGTCAATAGAAAATGCAGATATAACATAGAAGGGGGGAAGTAATATCGCGGATAGTGGCATAAAGGCCGACGACTTGCAAACGTTTCCGGAACTG